CGCTTGCATAAATATTTTCGAGATAGTTCGTATGCCCTCACTTATTGGACCAGATTATATTCTCAAGGAAATTCGTAAACCTCACCTATTTGAGATCGATGCATATTTTCGTGCTCATATATTGTGGGCAATATGTAAGACCTCTCTTAGTTGTTAACTTATATTTCCCGCATATAAATATATGACTCAGACTTAGGGGACATTGTTATATCTATAAATTATGTGGCATGTGCATGACGGAGGGGATCTCACATATGTCGACTTGGTAATAATTTGTGTCAATTGGATCTGGCCAATTAATCAAGCAACCTCTTTTGGGCGTAGACTTAGGTTCGGTCCACTATCTCATCTCGACCCATTCTACACCTTCTATTTTTGTAAATTCATCGCACAATCAAGATGTTTTATCCTAACCGTAGTCAAATTCCCTTCTCTCATCTCTTGCATTCATTTATATCTTGTTCGATCATTAAGTTGACCATCGGAGTGCAAACGGTAATCAAACTTTTTTCTTAGCTAGTGGCATTTGCCTCCTAACAGGGTGTGCGCAGATGACGTTTATGTGGAGGGGAGGTGACCGATATTCTATTAGTGCATTTTTTTGAGATCAACAGATTGGAGCCGTCTGTGAAATCAATATATTGACCATGTTCTACCATATACAAAAGGTCATCGAAAAAGATAATTTTTCTGGGCAGTCTTCTACCAAAGCAGAGAAGTTAGTCACCAAAATGAAGAAATCTACCATGAAAAATGACTTTCTATCTTTAAAATCTTTCATAATTTGATCAAAACTCAATTTAACTAGAAAATTCGTACCATATTTACCAGTTTGTGTTTCTTCAAAACCAGACTTGTCTCCATCTACAACACTAGAATTGTCCTCCTCTCCTAAGGAACTACCTCCTTATTTACAAGTTTATACTCGACATTATAAGCCGCCAATGCCTATAGCCCCATCTGTCACCTCGCCGTCTAAAGATCATGCATCCGTCATTTGTTCTAATTTGAGTCATTGCTCATTGCTCTTTATAAAGGTAAACGTACTTGTTGGAAAAATTACAATACTTGTATAAATAAATATTCTATCAGCCACTATATCACTTTTGATTTGTTGTCCCCTTCATTTTCCTATTTTACATCCCAACTTTTTAGTGTTTTTTAGCATAAGATAGTGATAGAAGCTTTATTTGATCTTAAGTGATGAAAGGTTATGGAATTAGAAATGCCATCCTTATACAAGAATAAGACTTGGAAACTTGTTGTAACACCCGAAAATTTTAGATTAAAAATTTATGTGTTATATATATATATA